TCAAAGTATACCCTTCTCTCTTCCTGAATTTTTTTTCTGGTCCTTACGTTTCCTAGTGACCCAATTTAGATGGCATAATAAATTCTTTAGACTTAGACTAAAAACTCTGTGTAGACCCAAACATATAGGTTTAGCGGGCTTGTCAGACTTTGAACTCTGTATCTGCCTTACTTTCCCACATCTTTGACCAAGTTCAAAGGCTTTGAGTAAAATAGAATAGAATAGAACAGGATATGTCCCCTGTCAATTTATGAGCTTTATTTTGGGGTTTTGCACATTCATTTCACACCCTTTATGTACTCTCCCCTCTTACAGTATCTCCTCTACATATACAGTATGGTATGAAACTACATAGTCTCACTTCTCTGTCTTTTCACCCAAGCCCATTAATGTCTCTATTGGATAATCCAGACTTACCTTTTGCTATTTCTTGTTGGTGGCATTGTTTCACTTTCTCCCTGGCTACAAGCAAGATACTTTGTTCTCCCTTGTTCTGGACTACCATCTTTTATAGCCACTCTTACATCTAAAACTGTTGATTGGCTCACACAACATCAACCGACCATTTATTGTAAAAAAAAACTTCATCTTACAGGACAAATCCAACATCTGCTCACTGACTTTGAGTGGTTTACACTCTCTCTTGAAACCACCTAGATATACATTATCTATAAATTATAAAATACATCAGCAAAAAAACTTTAACCACTTCCCCCTGGGTGGACATCATATGACGTTGCCAAGTGTTAGACCAGGATGATGCCTGCAGTCACACTGATCACTGCCACACCAGTCATATTGTCCCTGATTCACCACCTCACAAGTTACAGTGTCCCTGATCACCGCCATACCAGCCCCAGTGTCCCTGAATACAGCCACATCAGGTATATTATCCCTGGTCATTGCCAAACCAGTCCCAGTGTCTCCAGACCAGTGTATGCCAGCAACAGTGTTCCTCATTACTGCCTCACCAGTCGTGGTATCAGCACACCAGTTTAAGCCAGCAACAGTGCCCCTGATTGTTGCCACACAAGTCCTAATGTCACCAGACCAGTGTAAGTCAACAGCAGTATTCCTGATTGCTGCCACACTAGTCCCGGTGTCACCAGACCAGTGTAAGCCACCAACAGTGTTCTTGATCATCACACCAGTATTGCCTCTGCCTACCACCTGTACTAACCCTAACCTGTTTATTGACCGTGTTTCTGCCTGTTTGCTGGCTATGTCTCTGCCTGTGGCATGAACTGACCCATCTGCAGGTTCAACTGACTATGTTCCTGCAATACACTATTCCCACTCATATAGAGGTGACCATAACAGTACATTGATTTTGATACAATTGGTTAATTTGTGTGATACACAAGGTACAATGTTTAGAATACAAAAAGTGACAAAGTCTCAAATGTGTGGTATTGCCTTACTCAGGAGAATTAGCAGAATGTGTTTTGGATTGCAATTCTAAGTATGCCCATCCCGTGTGTGAGAAATATCTTGGTAAACTGACAACTTTGTGTAAAAAAATAATAAATTTTTTTTGTGGCAAACCAATGAAGTCTTTCAGGGCTTCCAAAAATGTGATAGGCAGTCAGGAAACTAGATGCATAATTTATGCCCCTGGAGCTCCTGAAGGTACTCCTTGGAGTTTGGACATTTCTTTGTGACTAGGCTGTGAGGAGGGAAAGTAGCACAATGTGTTTTGGGATGTAATTTTAGGTATGCTTATGATGTGTGTTAGGAATAACTTATTAATCAACAACCTTGTGTAAAAAAAAGAAAAAAATTTGTTTTCTTTCCTACATTTTCCAAAAATGTTTGTGGGTTTCCTCCAGGTACTCCAGTTTCCTCCCACACTCCTGGATCCTGTCTAAATTGGCCCTAGTATGTGTATGTATGAATGTAAGTTAGTAACCTTAAATTGTACACCCCTTCAGGGTTAGGGACTGATATGAATGTACAATATATATGTAAAGTGCTGCATGAGGGGGCGTGGCCAAGCAGGGCATGTGAGCGGCTGTGCTTCACAGAGCTCCCGCTTCTAAACCTATCACCGATCCTGTACCAAAGAGATTTTTGAGGCTCCGGTTGCTTCTGCAGAGCGGTCCTGATCTGGGGCACCTCTACATACTTGGGGTGAGCTTTTTACCTACAATGATGACCCATAAAAACCGGGATGAATCGGCTGGCATGGACTTCCAACATGGTGCCGCTACTCCACAGACGCAATGTGTTCATGGAGGTGATAAGATAAAGGAGGCTGCTGGAAAGTCTGGTAAGACAAGCCACCCTGTGGGGAGGGAGTGCTCCTGGGACATGCTTTATTACACCCAGCAGATCACAGGGTCCCTGGACTCTCCCCTTGCCCCCCCTATGCGGCCTGCTACTCCACTATAGCTGCAGCCTTTGGGAGAAGAGTAGGACAAGCAGACTGAGCAGACTGAGATATGTGAAGCTGTACCCTGCTCGCCTGAAAATCTTTGCCAATAATCAGACGCACTTGTTTGATTCTGTTGCCACAGCCTCAGATTGCATGGACATGCATGAAGCTCAACTGTGATGTCGTCCACGCAATCCGGATGATTGACTCTTGCCACCATACCTTCTTTGATAAGCCGTGATGCCTGATATGCCTTGTTCATTCCTCACCAGGAAGTTATATTTGTAGGCTGACGTAATACTGAGCGCTACTCACGTTTGATGTAAGATTTGAATAATAGCACTAGTATTTGAATGGCAATTAACAACGTGCGATTCAATCCATTTGCACCTGGGTGTCAGAAATCTGGCCCAGTGGGTAAGCGAACACTCAGTTTACCAAATGTCTTTGGGATTTGTCTTGTTAGGCACTGTTATGCCACTGTTCAAAATGAACCTTCAAACTTTTTTTCCAGTGTTTGCCATTCTACCTAGCTTGTTTTTTTTTTTGTGAGCGGTACGGTGTCCTGCAATATAGAGCATGGTCTTTCTGACTGTTTTGAGGGGGCAGTGGAGCATTTGATATTGAGCCTCTCCTTTCCTAGCGCTATCCTAAGGATAGAGGGGAGATAGCTTTGCCCAATCCCTGGTTGTTTTGTCTGGCTAGCCAGGTGTAACATCTGTTTAAAGGTATGGCGGAAGTAGATACCACTAGTGCCACGGCTAATGATTCTACTCTACAAGTGATGTTACATTGTACGGCCTCTGGCTCATTACCAGAAGGTCTTGAGACTCAATCTTTTTGTAAACCAAATAAGTCCTTCCCTACCTATTGACTAATACATAAAATTTGGGTCAAGGTCAAGCAGCTGCAGCAGGTTACAGGTCACATCGCATATAGTCCCATATAGAATAATGCGGCATTACCAGAACTGGCAAAGCTACAATTTGCCTCTTTGCCTGGAAATCCTATGGGATAACTCATGGGAAACATATAGTCGACAATGGTCAACTCATATCATTTGATACATTGAAATCCAGGTATAATTTACTGTCAACAATGTTATTTTATTACATACAGTTAAAACATGCAATTGCCGCTCAAGACCCGTCAGCCTTATAGCACTCCTCCCCACCCCCATTTTCAATTATTTGAACTCAGATACAACTACTAAAGGGATTATTTCTCGCTGCTGTACCAAGCTTCCATCGGATTACTTAGAAAAATACCCAAATAGGGCTAGTGGGCATTGGGGGAGCAAGATGTGGGGGCTTTTGAGGAAGACCAGTGGGAAGCTGCTCTGCAGTCTATCCATCTTAGCTCACTCACAGTTTCTTACCGTATCTCACAAATGTATATTGTACTTAGGGCTCATTATACACCAGCTAAAATGTGTATGATGGGGCTATGCCAGGAGCCTCTTTGTGGCAGATGTAAACGGGACCATGGGGATCTTATGCACATGCCTGAAACTTCATTGATACTGGGAGGAAGTGGTCAACACTCTTGATTTAGTGTTTCAAACTAACCTACTTCTAGACCCTAAACAATGCCTTTTAGGTATTTTAGATAATGTTACTCAAGTTACAATTATACTAGAAGCCCTCTCTAAGGCCCTGTTCCAGGCACACAAGGCTATTCTAGTGCGTTGGAAATCAGAAACTCCCATTACTATGGAGGACTGGAGGAAGAATATGGGAACCATCTTACGATACAATCGTTTAATTTAACAACATCGTGGGTGCCCAGGTAAATTTGAGAAGCTCTGGGAAGCATGGTTGGCCACTCTGGGATTAGCCCCATTTGATTTGATAATGCATAGGCTGTTGTAATCATCCTTTCATGATGTGAACTGCCTGCTATGTTGTTCGCCTTGATTATCATGTAGGGAGATCCATCTGCTTTAGTTTCCACTGGCCCACTGCTGGAGAGGGACATCTACTGCTCTGTGTGTGTGGGGTTCTGCATGTGCCTTTACTGCATAATAATACCACAATCTTGTTGTACTCATTTGTGCATCGGATAACTGGTAACACTGAAATTTTTCTTTTAGTATTTTTGTTCTTTTTGTTAATGGCTGATTCTCTGGTAATGTTTTGTATACGGTACTGTATTCTGTACTTTGTATGCCTTAAACATCAATAAAAATATTTCTGATTAAAAAAAAGTGCTACGTAAATTGATGGCGCTATATAAGTACCTGTAATAAATAATAATAAATAAATAGCTTTATCACAAAACTAACTTAAGACACTCTGTACTAGGTACTGACAAAAAAAAAAGATATGGCTTTTAGTCAATTCATCTTGTATTATTCATCTTTCTATCTCCTGTTCAGAACGAGCTATGTTTAAAACGATTAACACTATCATACATTTGCTGCTCACATGGGTATGAACTGATGAAACAATGTAAAAATACAAAACGCCATAAAATCCATTTGCATGAATGACACGTCAAGCTAAAAAGTTAAACTAAAACATCCTTTGATAATTCTAGACCCATCATCTACAAGGCTTTTAACAGTATAACATTTTGCAGCTTTGATCATTACAAGGAAATAGATGTGCATTTTTTTAATGCTTACTTCACAGGGCTTCTGGCAGCATCTGGATCTTGGGCCGTGACTGTTCCTACAAGAGTGTTAATTTTGGCGTCTTCCATGACTTCAAGTACATATCCTGATTTGGTGAACACTGGCGGTTCATCCACATCCTCCACCAATATTCGGACAGTAGCCATATCCTTGAAAGGTCCCATGTAGTGAAACCTAGAGTCTTCATATGTATTGATAGCTTCTACTTTCAATGTATAAGTCCTTGTTTTCTCAAAGTCCAATGCCTGCAAATAAAAATATATAATATAACCTCAGGAAACTAACAGAATTCAGGTATCATGCATCAAATGTCAAGAAACAAATCTACACTACACAGTCACAGGCTTAATCATTTTATTACAGTACAAGAAGCAATAATATGCAACTTTACCTTTTTTCCTTAATTTAGTTTTGGGACATTGCATTAAAATGTCCATGAGGTGGCCTGATTTTCTCAATATTTGAAAATAGCAGCATCAGCAGATCTCATTTATTGGATCTGCCTCAGTACTTTGCAGAAGTACATATAATACAATCTGAGAAAAGTAGTTACTGACACATATAACTGGGCTTATGTAAATAAACAGGGCAAAGAAAATATCTATATGTGCAGTGCAGGAAACTATAGTAACCAACCAAATTACGTATTCTTGATTCAGCTCAGGGAAAGGAGTACATCTAATTAGTTGACACGGGTTATTTTGCATCACCTTATTAAATAAGCAGAGCAATTTTAGGAGAACATACCTTTACAGAAATGCAACTACAATGTTCAAATATTAAGCTTATTTTCTGCAAGTGTAGTAGGCACCTTTCACACAGAGCGCAGTCCATTCTGATCAGCAGGGAATCCATTACCAGATCCTCTGCTGAATCAGAGCTAACGGGTTGGATGTCAGTGTTCTGACATCCTTGCCCATTCAGTCTATGCTCAGTGGACACAGGCAGACCCGTGACAGCTCTATAGGCAGCCTAATCTAAATGGACTCTGCTGTTCGTTTTCATCAGGCCACCTCCAAACCATCACGTTTAGGTCCAGAAAAATGGAAAACGACACAGTTCTAAATGAACCAGGAGGAAGATGGGAGTAAACTAACACAAGTCCATTTATATCTACCTGCTCATAGGATTGAAGGGAGGTTCCTAACAGGTCTGTGTAAAAGATGATTTAGTAGCAGAAATTGTTTTGTATATGTAAATGGTTGATATCAGTCATTGTCTTTTGCTCAGAAATATTTTGCTTGCATTGCCTTTCTGAATAAACAATTTCTAAAGACTGAAAGTTTACCTAGATCTTAAAGGATAACTCCACTAGATCTTGTAGCTTTGGGAATAATTATTTTGTAACATAATCTCTAAAATCGTAAATACTAGACTCTAGTTATAGAGGAGGAGAATATTTATGTAATTTATAAGCACACAGATGTTTGTTTGTCTAATAAGAAGATGATCCAGATTTTACAGCATGCAAACATGTTATCAATTTAATTTTCTTTATTTTACTGACCTAAAAAACCTACCATCTGACCAAGCCACTTAAAGTTTTCTCATTATAGTCTCACAAATGCTTTCTGATGAGTTTTATATTTTGACATTTTCTGCTGTTTACTGATGCTTAGAATTGTTAGGTAGATTTTAGAGAGGGGGACATAACAGAAGAAAAAACAGCATGCGGTACCCACTAATATTTTATGGTCATGTAAATTTATTATGTATAATATAGTATCGCTTCCTCTCCTTTGTATTGTAAATTCACTGTCTATCACGTCACCCAGCAATGTACTGTAGATCCACATCAATCAAGATGAATGATAATCCCAGTGATCCAACAAAATAGGAGACAAATAATCCAGGCTCCCGGCAGATTTCTGAAATGAATTACACCTCTGGACCCTGTAGTTGGATGTAGCAAAAGGGTAAGGTATCTGAGGTGTCATGATCACATTTAGTCAATGACATCGTCCAGTATACCCCAGTCCTTTATGTACATTTACCTGTCCGCTTGGGAAATGGCATTCTCTGCAAGGAGCCATCTGGGAGCAGACATGTTGGTGGTCAGTGTGTGTGTTTTTTTGGTAGGTTGGCTGGCATTGTTAATTGTGATTGACATTGATCTACATTTCCAGACACATGATTAATGGATGGATTTACATTTTAGGTCTTTGTTTTTCAATAAAGGCCTTTTTCAAACGTGTGGTGTGTTTATTAACATTGTAAACGTTTTTGAGTGAATTAGTACCCATGTGTATTATGTACCCCTCAGCCACACCATTTTTTACTTTTTTATCTTTTTGCATAGGGCTCCCTTTAAAATCCATACCAGACTCGCTCCAAGGATAAGGTCTGGTATGTATTTTTAAAAGGAGTCTCATGTGTTTTATTTCTTTTGTTTGTTTTTGTTTTCTTTTTTCATGGGATCTCTTTTTTATAATTCATAGCAGTTTTTCACCTAGGATAAGAGTCTAACATGAATGTGGAGGGTAACACTGGCCACTTTGTTTACAAACAGAGCAAAGTGGCTAGGAAATGTCATTTAGCATCCTGAAATCTGGTATTTTTTCTTTGTAAATGTCTCTTTCGTTGTGCTATGGTGTCCGTTTATGGAGCAGCGGTAATTCACCATTGAGAAGATCACCGGCATTCTCGGAGTGAGGTTTTCTGCTCTGAGTGCTGGTTTATTAAGCTGTGAAGATTGGTTCTCTTCATGAGAAGAGAAATGATCTTCATATGCTCAGAACTCTTAGGAGCGGTTAAAGGAAGGCTGTAATCTCTTGAGAAATCCTGAGATTACAGTGTTTTTAAAGTGAAAGTGAAAAGAAAACACCAATCACGAACTAATACACTTCTCAAAATAATCAACTTCTCAAAAATCCCAACTATGGTGCTTCCTGCATGGAGTTTGCATGTTCTCCCTGTGTTCGTGTGGGTTTCCTCCGGGTACTCCGGTTTCCTCCCACACTCCAAAGACATGCTGGTAGGTTAATTGGCTCCTGTCTAAATTGTCCTAGTTTCATCCCTGGCCCCGTGGGATTTCCTGCATTATAGGGGTTTGGGAAAGACCTGGCAACCTACCCTGTAAAATAATTGCTAAGAGAATTTATGGGAAAAGTCGCTTACAAGTGACGGTCCATGCAAATCGCCAAAGGTCAGATATATATATATATATTGTGTTTCTGATCTGATCGACTGCTTGTTTAGGGGCTTGTGAAATGCAGGGAACATGTACTTGCTCACTGTCTTGGTGCCAAGGAGAAAGAAGGAATTCAATATACTTCCTCCATCCTCCTGATTTCTCTGACAGATTCTCTCCTCTTTTTCTGATTCTTCACCTCTGGGCTGGAGAGTCTGGGAGAGAGAATTCTTACACAGATAGCCAGTGAAGTGCTGTCATCGTGTCCTCATAAACTGGCAGTTTCTGTGCACCTCAGAATAGTGAGATGATCAACATAGAACATTTCTCTGCTGATTATCTCTGTGTCACAAACTGCTAATAAATTGAGATCAGCAGAGATCCTCAGGACAGGTTTCAAGGCACCCCCAAACATGTTGTTTAACCACTTGCTAACCGCACTATAGACGAACAATGGCTACAGCGCGGATGTCCAGTTCTGGGAGGGTGTCATATGACGTCCTCCCAGAACACGCCTCCAGCTGAGCAGATGACCAATCACAGTGGCCTTTTACCACGTGATCAGCTGTGTCCAGTGACACAGCAGGGCACGGAGTAATACCGTTTCCGGTTATCTGCAGCACTTTCCTCATGCTGTCACATACTGTCGATAACCAGCAGCTGTCACAGAGCAGATTGATGATCAGTGCCCTGATGATCAGTGCTCTGCAGTACCGCCCAGAAATGCCACCCAGCAGTGCCATTTATCAGTGCCCCCCATCTGTGCTGCCCAGCAGAGCCTCCCAGCAGTGCCACCCATCAATGTCCATTATTGCTGTCCATCAGTGCACAGCAGTGCCACCAGTCAGTGCCCTCAGTCAGTGCTGCCAGTTAGTGCTGTCAGTCAGTGCCGTCAGTCAGCGCCACCCATCAGTGTTGCCCATCAGTGCCCATCATTGCTGCATATCAGTGCAGCATCATCAGTGCCGGCTCATCAATGCACACCAGTGCTGCCTATCAGTGCAGCCTCATCAATGCACATCAGTGAAGGAGAAAAATTACCTGTTTGCAAAAAGGTATAATAGAAAGAAAGAAAAATTTTTTTTTTTCAAATTTTTTGCTTTTTTTTTTGTTTATAGTGCAAAAAATAAAACACCCATTGGCAATTAAATACTACCATAAGAAAAAATTATACAAATTTCATGTGAGTACAGTGTTGCATGACTGTGAAATTGTCATTCAAAGTGCAACAGCGCTGAAAGCTGAGAATTGGCCTGGACACGAAAAGGGTAAAAGTGCCCGGTAGGCAAGTGGTTAAAGGAATTGTACATGTTTAATGTTTCACTTTTTCTATTATTAAAAGAGCTACTCCCCTCCAAATGGAATATTTCATTTTTTTGCACTGGTACAAGTCCTGTTCTCTTTTATGCCATTTGTTTGACAATCTCTTGCTTCTTAGCTTTAAAAATGGAGAGATCTGATTTTCGAAATTGGGGTTGGTTTCAGTAAAACTTTGTAATTTGTGGATTTTTGGTCGAGTTAAACCAAATCTGCCTGCAGATAGAACCCAAACAGATTCACCCATCACTAGTAGTGAGTCAGTCTATGCAATCCCTATACTGGGATGTGCCTGAGTGACCATATCAGTCTATGTCTGTATAAAAGAAAAGTGACAGTTTTGTTTTTATCATGAAAGGGAACAGGCAGCCAATTTGTGGAACTGTTTTTTGTATTCAACTAGCGGTTGAATTGACCCAATTTACAGATTCAAAGTGATTTGAGGGAATCCTCCCTGCTAAGCTATTGTATTCTGACAGTGGAGAGACTTCCCCAGACCAGGGGCGGACTGACCATTTGGAAACTCAGGCACTGCCCGAGGGCCCGGGGTCAGTATGGGGCCCCAAGAGATGCACCTGGTACCCTTTTCATAGGCTTTTTTGAGTTTGGGCAAGGACACAGGGGCCCCATGATCCCCTATTGCCCGGGGGCCCCATGAGTTGTCAGTCCGCCCCTGCCCCAGACTACACTGATCAGCTATAGCCTGCAGTGTTGATCAAGTGGGAGAAATGCAACAGGACCCTTGTATAGAAGTTGATCAGTAGATCGATTTCTGTACAATGTCCCAGCCCATAAAGGGATCAAAATTTGGCTTCTCAAGCTGAATTTAAATTCATGTATGGCTGGCTTTACTCTGTTTATGTAATTTGCATACAGTTTGCACTGTAGCAACAGATAACAAAGTGTCTAATTCACATACTTCTTTAATTCAATGTCTTCATTGCTGGATCCATAAATGATATACTCTGTATAAGAATGAACTCATGCAATCACTGGAGGTCGCAAACTGCTAGAAGCAAGCAGTCCCAGCATCCATTTTACTAAACGTTGCTGATTTCTCCTTTACATGTTATTCCAGCAGTCAAGTGTTGTAATCAGAGTACACATCTACAGAGCTCCCAGATGCTTTCTTTTTTCTTAGTCTTGGTTTGGAGTTTTGTGCTTTCTACAGGTTAGCAAAATAAATGCAGGAGTGCCTGCTTTTAACATTTTGTGATACTGATCCACTTGATTGCATGATCGTGTTGAACTAAATGTGTTTAATTTTTTTTAGACTACAGTTATCTGTTAAGGTGGTTATGCGTATATATGATATATATATTTCTCAAAGCTGGAACTCCAGTAGGCAAGAGCAGGACCAAACGTGAGAGACATCTTAGCATGTAATGTGAATTTATATAAATTTATTAATATACATAACTGAAATCGCTGTTGCTATTATTTGGTATATTTATAATATTGATGGTCTTAACCAATTCAGCTCCCGCACCTATATACCAGTCATCAATCAGAACAAATTTTATATATTCACTATGGGCTTGTTTACTCAGGTATAATTTTGTCATTACTTAAGATAACTAAGTATTATACTGTATACTTTTTTGGGTGAAAAATGTGGGTGTCTACCAGCAAAAATGATTTATTATGGAATGTGCCCTGTTTAAAATGACACTAAATTAAGTCTCTGGTACCAAGCATGACAAATTTATTTGCAAATGAAAAGAGGCATTTTTATGTGACACTGGGGAAAAAAATAATAACAACAAATATGCAAATATTATTAGTAAAAAGACAGATATAAAAATAAAAATCAGCAGAAAAAATAATAGCTAAGGGAAGAAGGGGAGGGTGATATTAATTAGGGCTGATTCAGGTTAAATAAGGGTTTTTAGGAGGTTAAATAGGAATGCATTAACTTAATTTTCTTTTTACTTGTAAGGTTTAATTAACTAATGTAAATGTATGTGTAATAAATTAAATAGTAAATATATTGTTACATTATACTGTATTACTCAATTATATATGTCATTTTACAAAGGAACAATTGCATTTTGACAGCTACTCTTGCTATGTAATACATAGAAATTCCAGTCCGTCACTTTAATAGCTGGTAATTGCTGGTAATAGTGGTGGGGGAGGGATACAAGGGGAAGAGTTGCTGGACATTAGAGATATGTCTTAGACACCTGTTTGAAGTAGTTTAGGATGTATTTCCTACATTTAATATCCTCAAGTGATTAAAGTAGATGTAAACCATACCTTGATGACATTTAGCTTGTTTGTCTACACAATTGTTAACTTGTTTTCATACAATACTTGTTTTCATCTCTTCCCCTCCCATTCTTATTTACTACTCTTTGCAAGCACTTTTTATCTAAATTCGTGCACTCCATTGATGGCTGCGTGGCATTTCTTAGGGTAGTGGGCTATGCCTTCATAATATGTGTTGGAATGGCTACTTATAGTCTGTCTCCACCAGGGACAGATATAGTATGGTGGCAATGCAGAATCACAGTTGAAAGACCCCTGTCACCTTATGACAAGAAGAGCTTGAACAAGTACTTTCATGCCAGGTCGTTGGGTATTATTGTGTTAATGAAAGCTGCAAAAAAAAAAAAAAAAACATTATTTTTAAAATGGCATTACTATGCTAAGGCATTTACGATATTTTAATGATTGGGTTTAGATAAGGCTTCCCAACTCCATTGAATGTCCTTTTCAGTTGAGCACCTTTTGTAGGGTTATGTATGATTCAAGTCCAAAGTGATATAATCTAATAGAAATGCATTATAGTAATAAAGTGCAGGATTTACGAAGAATACATGATTCAATTCCTACACTCTGACTGATAACTTAATTCATAGGAAATTCTGCATCAAAGCCTATATATTTAAAAGTGTCTTTCAGGAAGGCACAGATGGAAATGGCTCACACAATGTTTTGTGTGACGCGCCAAGGTTAGCCCTGCTTATGTAAACATAAAGTGGGAAGATGTTAAGGAAGAAGCTCTTGAAGACATGGACAATGGTGATTCGCCACTTGAGAGGACAACTCAACTTTCTTTTGATATCTCTCAGCCAACACATACTGAAACAAAACTGCTGCTGTGCATGGCAAGTTTGCTAGGTAGCCTGATCCTTAAGGAAATCGTCTTGATGATAATAAGAATTAGATTAATTGTTTAATTAAGTGTTAGTTATATCTCGAACACCTGCTTAATTGGTTGCTCTGGAGGACTTAAATTTAAAGGGTAGTGGATTCTCATGTAATCAAGGTAATCAAAACCAGAATGTGGTTACAGTGTATTTTAATTTAATATGGCTTTGCTCGAAAAATTACCTGTGATAAAATATCTTATAAGCTGCCACAGTACTAAATTTTTGGAGTTATATTCTGAAGGCAAAGGCAGCAGATTTTAATACTGTCAAAAAATCGTTACTGAAGATGATGTGATTAAAAGCATAATACATATATCTGCTCCCTTTGCTTTAAAGCACTGCACCCACACTGCAATATAAAAAAAAAGCTAGCCGAGCTTAAGCCATTAATTCCTAATGTATACCATGCAATATACTTAACGTGATTTAAACATGTTCCCAAACTGCCAGTTTTCTGCTTTCCTCTGTGGGTTTCTCATCAGCTTTAGTGGTCCCACAGAGGATTACGATGATCATATTCTGAAAACAGTTATACATAATTAAATGTATTGTGTTTTTTTTTTACACTAGACTGCCTGTAGTTTTGTATTTGGTTAATGCAAATGAGCTTACACTGATGGTATTAGTTTAAAATACTTGCTCTCTGTTTACATATATCATCATGGATGAAACTCCTTGTTTTTGGATACTACATTACTTTGTGTGACACTATAAGGTGAGTCTGTGTAATTCTCTCATAATATAGTACATATTTTATATGTATAAGTCATAAAATAACTCATAAACTAAAAAAAAGAAAATATTACTGGTGCATTGCAAAGGAAATCAGCATAGATTATTTGTTTCATTTGGAAACACTCCACATTTAGAGGACAATTATCCATTACACTGACTTTTGCTAATGAAATGGTTTGGTTTATTACGCACTTTTTTGTTCTGTCCATTTTTCTTCATTTGTGTAGCTTTTTTTTTAATCTCAGATCCTTTATGGATCAAGCTGACCAGAATCCTTAATATGGTGCCAGTAAATTTCTAAGGGGATGCACAAATAAGGGAACATTGATTTCAGGGCCTCTAATGACAAGAGCCTTACAGTATAAGCAATCTGTTTCCTGTAGCACATTCTCAGCCCCTATTACTCTTGTAATACTCAGAATAGAAACCAGTGCAGCGCTAAAACATTACATAGTGTAAACTGAAGAAATATTGAATAATAAATAAATAATATTGATGATATTAATAAAGCAATAAATCAATATTAAATAATAGTGTTAACAAATATAAGTGGATGAAGCGCTATGATGGGCGCAATAAAGTAAGTGCAACTGTGAAAGTCTTATAACAAAAAGTCTTCATAAAGTAGTGAAGGCTTGACACAATCAGGTCAGCATACAGTGCTTCAAACAGGTCCTAATGCACAAGTGGTATCCAATAATTCCTTGTGGCTTTATCCGTGCGGAAGATTGAAAAAAATGCGCACTCACCAGAGGCGCATCATTAAAGCGCAATATGTTGAACAAGAATCTGCAGGACGCCTCCTTTAACTGCATCTGACAGACAGCATGAAACCAGGATCCCTCCTCTGGATACAAGCCTCCTCTGCAGCCAGGCTTCCACTGGGGTCCTCCTTGCTGCAGTGCTGTTTCTGATCCCTTTCACATGTGTATTTGTCTGTGCTCACCTATCTGCTTCCTGCAGATTCTTGTTCAACATATTGCGCTTTAATTATGCACATCTGGTGAGTGCGCATTTTTTTCAATCTTCCATATGGATAAAGCCACACGAATTTATTGGATACCACTTGTGCATTAGGTCCCGTTTGAAGCACTGTATGCTGACCTGATTGTGTCAAGCCTTCACTACTTTATGAACACTTTTTGTTATAAGACTTTCATAGTTACACTGGCTTTATTGCGACCATCATAGCGCTTCATCCACTTATATTTGTTATCACTATTATTTAATATTAATTTATTGGTTTATTAATATAATCAATAATAATTATTTATTTATTCAATATTTCTTCAGTTTACACTATGTAATGTTTTAGCGCTGCACTGGTTTCTTTTCTGATTATCTGTAAGGTTTTAGGGCTCCTTCTTCATTGCAAATGTGGCAGACTCAATTGGATCCCTGAGCACTTGCTGATTCTTTGTCTGGTTTTACTTCTGTAATACTGTATGTCTGCCGTTTCTGACCACCTCCTGTAGTAGGTTTGCAGCCTATGATAATTTATCTTAGTATGGTCACGCTCTCTCTCTCTTTTATTTTTACTAAAAAATGGGGGTGGGTTGCTGTTGAGTTGTTAGGGGGCTTGGCCCAAAATGTG